TAACATGAATTTACAGCTCAGAGATGTTGATGCTATAATAAAATTATTCAAATTAAATCTATAAGTTCACCAGGACTCGACATCTGATGTCTGAATCTCATCAGTTTATTCTCTTTCGTGTTTGGAACAAAATATATTGATCCATCATATTCTGCCTTTATGATAGTTAGCAGTAACTGCAGTGACTAACATTAACAGGCAGCATAGAAAATGTTTTCTCCCAAACTTTCTCATATAATGCAGATCAAGTTTCCAGTAAAATATGAGCACTCATTTTCAATTATCTGTTCTAGAATCAGTTTCCATCAAAGCAGTGAATAAATTATCACTAAATAAATAAATATTCTTTACTTACAGAGCAGAAACTGTAGAGATGTTTCCATCATGGCGGCTCTGACTGATCTGACTTCTGCTCATCGTTTCCTCCTGTTAAATAAAGACAGCCCTCTTCCTTTAACAGGGTTATGAGGTTTGCTTTTTGCTAAATCATCTGGTTTTCTGTAGTTTTTTTTAAAAGCTACAACTAATAAACTGGTCAGAAATACGTCTGATTTCACAAACAACACAGGTAAAAACACATTTTACTGCTACAACATGAGCTACTGGCTGCTATTCTGGCTTCACATTATTGGAGTTCATTCATGGGAGAGATGATTGTCTGTGCTGCTGCTCCGCCATGATGTAAGGCCACCGAAAGAAAAGTCATCATAGTTATTGTAAATATGTCATAAATCATTTTAATAGAGTCAAAACAAACCTACCCATGTTTTAAGATCTTGTTCTATTAGTTCCTTTTGACACCAGACAGAAACAGGAAGAAGATTCAGAATTATTTTATTTTTGATAAGTAGAGAAGCAGTTAAGATATTAGAAGTAATCAAATCTTAGGCCTGTTCCATCTGTCCAGCTTCTAGAATGATTTACTTTGTTGAAGTCTGTTAATAAAATAACTGAATGTGAAGAAGTTCTGCAGAAGTTCTGGTTCTTTAGGGATCATTTGCACAACAGGCAGTGCATTTCATAAAACAATTAGTACAAACTTCAAAACCTGGCTAACCTGCAAAAGTTCCTTATTCAGGAGGGATAATTTTTTACTCAAACTCAAGTATCCAATGAAAGTATCAGTGTAATTAAAACGAAAAATCCTGACATGTTCATGAAAAGATTGTAAAATATTATTAGTCATGTTTTCATTACTAAAGCTCATTCATGACTTGGTTTCTTATGCAGAAAAGTTACATTTTAGTGACAATAATTACCTGTAAATGCTCCAGACAGCACAGGACAATATTTGCACAGCCATTTAAAGTCTAAAATAACAGAAAGTCGGGGACGTCCAAGCCGATCCTGAGGTCATCCTGCCCACTTCTCTCCATGGTGACAGTTTTACCTCCTCAGCAGGTCGTTGTTCTGTTCCTATTATTTTAACAACCATAGTCTCAGATCAACACTGTCAGCAGCAGAAACGTCTCATCAGCAGCACTGAACCCATCAGGAAAAGCTGCAGTGGACAGCATTGTCCACATGAGGACAGTTCAACAGTAAGATCTGATTCCATGTTGGAGTGGTTGTTGATGTGCTTTATATTAAGATCTTGTTCTTTGTGCCCCTAAATGAACTTTGACCTCTGCCTCTCCTGTAGTTGACATGTGACCACAGTACCATAAGCGCAGCCAGGGTCCGCCCAAGGCCCACAGCCGACCTCCACCAGTTTACAGAACCAACTGGTTAACAGAGGACGCCATCGCCATGGTTACCGCTCTGCACAGGACATTGACACATGTGGAACAGCAAAGGGACTATTGGCTCTTCCTAGACTTCAGCTCAGCTTTTAACATCGTCATTCCAAGTAAACTGGTGAGGACATTAAGGGTCCTGGGTCTCCCCTCAACATCTGCTGCTGGATGATGGACTCCCTGACAGACGGATCCCAGCTCTCCTCTGAGCACCAGCCCTGGTTCTCCACAGGGCTGAGTGATAAACCCAATACTCTGCACCATAGACATATAAGAATAGACGCTTCCTGGACCGATCTCACCTGGTGTTGCAGATGTGATGTAGGGCGGCCATCTTGAAGAGGTCGCCAGCTCTTCTCAGAATTGCATGTTTGGTAGGCACAATGAAGTATCAGCGCATTTAATTAAAAACTCACTAAATAAACAGATTTTCACGGCTTTTTACTGGAAACCTTATAAAAACAATTATCATTGTGCATGGACATTTATTTTTTAAGTGTTTTTGAATTGGATTGATGGTTCAGCATATTTAAATATTCTTAGTGGGGAAAACAATAAAATAGAAATAAAATATTCTGATTTGATATGAGTGTTTTACAAAGCACACATGAACACTGCACTTATATTTATTCAGTAATAAAAATATATAAACACAAAATAATACAAATATAGTGAAACAAAGATGATTAAATATTGATATGAAATAATATTAGGCTACATGAACATATACATACATAATGTATATCTATATAGGTTATTTTTCATGTTTTCCATTCCATTAGTTCTAGTTCCTGTGCAGTGAATCCGTCTCTCCTTAAAGACATTCCCCACTTCTTCCTCATAATGTCTTTAGGAAACCATCAAAATATAAACGGGAGCCATCTTACTTTGGACATAGTGAAAGAATTACATATAAATAACAATCTGCCACCTGTGTAAATTGATAAATATATTATATTATATTATATTAT